CCCTTAGTTATAGTTTAGTTTTTTTCTGTCCATTTATAGAAAAAGACTGTTTTATGTCAACATAAAACTAGATCTCTACAAAGTGATACCTCCACTTCAGTTAGTGCTTTCCTGCACTTCCTACAAATCCTTTTGACAACAACTGAACTGAATGCTCACATAATTATATTGAAACTGATCATAACTGTGCCTAGCTACGATGTGGTGCTGACCACACCCCGTCTAGCAGCTGCATTGCTTTATGGTCAGTTGAGACTTATGTTGCAGAGAAGCTAATGTCTGTTTCTCTACTGTGATTAATCGTCCTACTGGTACTACGACAAAGCATTATCTTTTTGATTGTGACAACAAAAGTTGTTGTTTACCATTGATGATGATCAGACATAATGAAAGCTATGCAGGAAAACTATCTTTGCCTTTCCCCAGGTATCAGCAAAATAAAAAAAGGCATCCCAAAATGCAAGACTGCTGTCAAAGGAATAATTTCTAACTGACAGTGCCAGGTACAAGGTCTTGTTTCTTAGAGCTACAATGCCACATGATGTGACAGTAATAAGCTGCATGAGGCTGCAGGAAGCCAGAGGTGAAAATTGGCTTCAGGCTGCTCTTAGAGAGTGAGAAACTGAGGCTGCATCAGCTTTCTGTACGTCAGTGGTCGGACTGAGGGTGCTGTTGACAGAAGTGAGCTGACAGCCGTGGGCTGATGAGACACATTCTCACCACTAAAGCTAATGGGTTAAAGTAAACAGGAAAGGCAAGCTTATCCTCCACGGCTTTACTTTGGCCTTTTGAAAAACTGCAAATTAAAGTCTGAAAATATACAGCAACTTTTAAAAGGCTTGACAAAGTGAAGTTCAGATGATGTCGAGAGGAAGTTTTAACATTCAGGATTTAACTGCAGTGGAGAAACTGAGTGTCTGCTGCCAAGATATGTTGCGTCCGTCCCTGACAGAAAAATCCATCCTTTGGGTGGGCTGCTCGTCTGAGGGCACTAATCAAGACAGTATAGATTTATTAACACTGGGAATGAAAAGGGCAGGGGCATGTAGCATCACATAGATAAATAATAGCTTTTAATTGCTGTGTGTGTTCCCCCTAAAGATACAGCCATTAAGATATTGTTTTTTACTAGAACCCTATAGGACATGTTTAAAACACATTTAGTGCTCTGGCTTTTGCTGGTGTGAATCGATCACCCTATGAACTGACAGGCACACGCGCACACACATCTCTCTTGGAGTATCCAGTTCGTTTGGACGAGGGGGGTAATATATTACGTGTCAGCTCACTGGCTGCAGTTATGATGAAGTATGTTTTTTGCTGGCTTCAATACTGAGAAGAGTGAGGAGTGGCAGCCATCCTCGCAATCACGTGTTGCGCCATGCATTATACATGTCTCCTTTTTCAAATGTATCCTGTTGCTATTATGCACCAGTGCTATATAGAGTCCTATATACAGTAGCATTCATAAATGTGTCCTCCATTTAGTACTAAGTATACAGAATGTCAGATATTATAGGAGCTAGAGAATAATGTAGTTTTTGTGATGTTTTCTTCTTGTGATGGAAGAAAAGAGCAGCAATGGTTCAGAAAAGGGTAGGTGATATGACAGAACACTGTATCACAATATTGTTTTGTTTTTTATCAGTAAATGTTGATAAATATCATGATAAATATTACGTGACTTTCTAAGCTTAAGCTTAAAA